GTCCGATCAATGTAAATAGGGTAAATAATTACAATACTTCATCTCAGAAATATAAACACATCCTGAAGAAGACCGGAGCGTACAGCGATCGAAACGTCGTGAAAATGACAGCGAAGTTAAGGACAACAATCCGAACAATGTAAATAGTGTAAATAATTACAATACCTCATCTCAGAAATATAGACAAATCCCGTAGAAAGCCGGTGAGTACAACGGCCGAAACCTTGTGAATACGGCAACGAAGATGAGGACAACAGTCCGAACAAGGTAAATAGGATAAATAATTACAATATTTCATCTCAGAAATCTAGACACATCTTGATGAAAGCCGGAGCGTACAGCGATCGAAACGTCGTGAATATGACAGCGAAGTTAACGACAACAATCCAAACAATGTAAATAGTGTAAATAATTACAATACCTCATCTCAGAAATATAGACAAATCCCGTAGAAAGCCGGTGAGTACAACGGCCGAAACCTTGTGAATACGGCAACGAAGATGAGGACAACAGTCCGAACAAGGTAAATAGGATAAATAATTACAATATTTCATCTCAGAAATATAGACACATCCTGATGAAAGCCGGAGCGTACAGCGATCGAAACGTCGTGAATATGACAGCGAAGTTAACGACAACAATCCAAACAATGTAAATAGTGTAAATAATTACAATACCTCATCTCAGAAATATATACAACTATTAAAATGAAGTCATTGAATTCGCACAGAATTTGAACCCGGTTATCTGATTTTAGTTGTCACGCCGATAACCGTTACCTTCCTAGGATCAACATTTGATTACCCACTTTCTGAACGGACTTGGCATATAAACTAAGATGACACTTAAGTTGAACTTCGCCTGCATTGGCTGTGATTTATGGTTGTGTGTCATTGTTTGTTTTTTTCTAACAGTAGTGTGTCCTTTAAAGAAAACTACAGTCTGTAGGTCACTTGGATTTCTAACGTGATTGCACACTTTAGCGTGGCCTTTTCGCCCCGACAGTATGCTGAACAGAGCTGTGGGTGACGAGAGCTAAAAACTCATTTTTTTAACTTGCTATTCATGTTCAGGACAGACAGACCTTTGGCTTTATGTGAAATGATCAGTTATTTCTTTGTGGAAGAATTTTAAGAAAAAGACAACAGTCAAACAAGAATTACATAAGCGCAAATGTCACTCAAGGTAGATTGTTACCGAATAAGATTTTTGTAAGGGAAGGTGGAAGTATTATGAGGGATTGTATGATATAGACTACAGTTCAAAAGTTTGTGGTCACCCTTACTATTTTTTTTTTCTAAATTGGCCCAAAAAGTAGTTGTTTTGTATTTTAAATAAGTGAAAATTATTATAATTGGCTAAAAAAAAATTGAGATATGATTTTCTATTAGAAATTTTATTATGACAAAAAGAAATAAAGAATTTTGTGATTAAACTTTGCTCTCGTCAAAATATCCTTCTTTAGCTTTGATGCCTGCAACACAAATTTTGGGGAAAAGTTTCTCAAAATTATAAGTTTGACAATTGATTCAATTCTTTTTTTTTTAACGACTCTATGACCTCTTTTTTATTTTGGGAATGGAAAAGTTTCACTCTTCTGACAAGTTCATCTCATGCTAATTCTGGGGGTGGCTTACATAATTTTGTAGCCTAATAACATAGCTAATTCTCGCTCAAATGATCTCAAATTTTAACAAAATATATTAAAACTAAGCTCATTGTGCGGACATATCTAAATGAGAATCTACCAGGATGATAGATCGGGCGTATCAGTGATAATGACAATGTTCCGTTGAAATGACCAACATGTTCATCTGACTTGACACCTTGTGATACATTTTTTTTTACTATGGGACTATGTAAAAGAACCAACGAGGTGATGGAGAATGTTACTCAAGACATGCTACAGCGTGTTTGGCAGGAGCTGGACTATCGATTTGACGTGTATCGTGTCACAAATGGTGCGCATATTGAGCGTTTGTGAACTTTTGTGAAGCATCCTGAAATCTTTGATAAAATCTAAAACGCTTTGTATATGTTGTTCGAATTTTAATAAATAAATCTTTTATTGAAGCCTATTTAATTGATGTCAATTTTTGTGACACCCTGAATTAATAAAAGCTTTCTCATGTCCCTAAAAATGGCAGTACATAATAAATTGATAATAAATGACTGAATTATTGGGATGGTGAGGTATCATCAATGTGTTATCATTACAGAACTTCTATTTAGACTATTGTCCTCATCGTTGTTGGTGGTACCACAGCATTTCGGCATCTGTATATCTAGATGTTCGCTATTTAGTAATTTCTCGGAATTGTGGGAGTTTGTTTGTTACTTATAACAATACATCCCCCACCCAGCATTTTATTTTCAGTAGCATCTTATATTAATACAACTTTAACCAAACGGTAAAAAGACTGCTTATTTTGCCAAATCCTAAAAACTATTTTATTCATTATATATATATATATATATATATATATATATATATATATATATATATGTGTGTGTGTGTGTGTGTGTGTGTGTGTGTGTATATATATATATGTGTGTGTGTGTGTATATTAGACATCCGACAACATTCATATTTCGCTTACTTAAACCATCTTTGACTCCCCTGTCTAAAATTTCTCTCTGTTAAATTTTAATCCCCCACCTTCTCTCGTCTGTTACCCCTCTCTATCGCTCTTACATTCGTCCCACACTTACACTCTCTCTAAACTTTATTTTTTTATTTCCGGGGTTGTTTTTTCTGTTTTCTTTTTGAATTTGTAGGTCTGATGAATTGGATCGTGTTTACGATTCCAATGGAATAAATCATGACCATGGAATATTAGTGTTTAAGCCTTTTATTATATATATATATATTTTATATATATATATATATATATATATATATATATATATATATATAGTTAACTACACTAGTCTCGGAAAACCTTCGGTTTCTTGATTTGCAAATGGTCAAATTAATTTCGAAGGAAAAAAAAGGTTTTAAAAAAAGAAAGAGCTATGAACACGAACGTCTGTCGAAAATGTTCGTAAAGAATACAGGACCAAAGCCCCCCAAAAAAAAAAAACCGATAATAGTAATCAACTAACTAAAAAGTGCTCGATTCAAGAGCAGACCTAGTCAAACCTAGACGGCCAGACAAAACTACCAAAGTTTCACCTAAGCGGCCAGCTTTCCCTGACGATCCGCTAACATGAAACCTTGGTAGGATTGTTTGGCTCTCTAGGATTGAATATATATATATATATATATTTTATATATATATATATATATATATACAAATACATATAAATACATATATATACATGTTTGTGTGTGTGTATATATATAAAAAATCAAAAAGTTGTATTAATATAGTATACTAAAAAAAATAAATGAATGATTATATATATATATATATATATATATATATATATTTCTATATAGTTACCCACAGACAAACTGTTTCGCTGTATTACAGCACTTCAGTGTTGCTAGACGTCCAATTCCTTTAAGTCGGGAATAAACTCAACCGATTGACATTAGTCAAAGATCCTACCCTTAAGCCGTCGGCGCACGGTAGAGAGAAAGGGAAATTTTAGCGCTTTCTATACGAAATAAGCCAAAGGCTAAGAGAACTCAATTTGTACTTGAAGCATTAATACATTCAATGCATATATATATATATATATATATATATATATATATATATATATATATATATATGTGTGTGTGTGTGTGTGTGTGTGTGTCTATAAATATTTTTTTCATATATATGTATATTATATATATTTATTATTTTATGTATATATTATGTATATTTATATATATATATATATATATATATATATATATATATATTATATTTATATTTTATATATATATATATATATATATATATATATATATATATATATATATATAAGTGAAGTAATGAAAATTTTGGTAATCCATATGGCTAATTCCAAGGAGAATGAAATCCGGAGAACTCAGTTTTTAAATCTGAGAGATTAATTCAATTTAATGAAAACAGACAACTTTAAGGGTCCATGGTTATAATTTATTTCCCCATGTTACAGAACATTTTTTTTTGCCTTATTTAATTGTAATATACGGAAAATATTCGTGAATATAATAGGATAATGATAAAATAAGCAAACATAATGTGTGTAACTTATTCAATTATATATATATATATATATATATATATATATATATATATATATATATATATATATTAGAATATAAATAATTTCTAAAAGCATTATGAAAAATAAAAAAATATAAGAGAGATAACATCATCTCTTATTTTTTTTATTTTTCATAATGTCTTTTTAGGAAATAATTTGTATCTATTTCTTGCAACATTATGGTTCTGTACCTCCTACAATTTTTATATATATATATATATATATATATATACATATATATATATATATATATATATATATATATATATATATATATATATATATATATCCAGTCTGTTGATAAAACATTTCTAAGAGACTGAACGATCCGCCCACATCTCGGATGTTCGTCTTACATGGCCGAAGCCTTAACCAGATGAGCCGCACCCATCTGTTTTCCAATCTGCAATCGTACTATACTTGCATCTTGTTGCACAAAACACGGTGTTTACAGTTTGTGAGACAGCAGAAGTTTGATTTACTGGAAATATGGACAATCAGGAACAGGGCTTGGTATTTGCGCTATTGTTTATCTAAGAGGTGAGTTTAGTGGTGAAAAATCCCGAGATGAGAGTGTCATAGGCGCTTCAGCGGTTAAGCAGAATTATTTGTTATTTCGTGAAGCGGCGACAAAGAAAAAAAAACAAGGAATACATTAAGGGGACACTTCATTGAGGTTTATGACTTCATTAATTCATTTTGATTGCCTGATGCCTACACAACATTCATTCTTGTCGCATTATCGGGAGGGATATGCGCTTTGTCCTGAAGGCACGTATGGTAGCTGGAAGAGGTATTATAAACGTGACGAAATTTCAGATAGATAGATAGATAGATAGATATGAAACCTTTGTAATAGATATCTTTCCAGAGACATATAAATAGATAGATACGAACAGACTGAGATAGATAGATAGATAGATAGATAGATAGATAGATAGATAGATAGATAGATAGATATGATCAGAATGGTCTAGATAGATAGATAGATAGATAGATAGATAGATAGATAGATAGATACAAACCGATTGCGATAGATAGATAGATAGATAGATAGATAGATAGATAGATAGATAGTTAGATAGATAGATAGATACAAACCGATTGCGATAGATAGATAGAAACGAAAGAAATGAAATAGATAGATAGATTTGAACAGAATGAGATAGATAGATAGATAGATAGATATGAATAGAATTAGATAGATAGATAGATAGATAGATAGATAGATAGATAGATAGATATGAACAGATTGCTATAGATAGAAACAAAAGAAATGAATTAGATAGATAGATAGATAGATAGATAGATAGATAGATAGATAGATAGATAGATAGATAGATAATGAAAACAAATACATATGACCAGTGGTCGAGACAGATAGAAAGAAGAAGGTCGAGATAGATAGATAGAAATAAAAGAAATGAGATATCTAGCCAACAAGATAGATAGATATGTAAAGATTGAAATCGATATAACCCGTGACGTCTAAATAGATACGCACGAACATGTATAGATAGATAGATAGATAGTTTGTTACTAACCGACTGTGATAGATAGATAGATAGATAGATAGATAGATAGATAGATAGATAGATATGAATCCCTTTTAATAAAGAGAAATTTACAAAGTAAAACAATTACTAACTAATCGAGATACGTAGGTATAAAAAAAAGCCGGCCCGAACAAATTCTGATTGATTGATAGAGATATGCGTCGGCTTCCAATACGAACCGTCTGAGACGGCTAAGAACAATCTGTTCACACATTCTTTTAGCCTGTGTGTGCAGTTTTTTTTTCTCCCCTTCCTGTCAGTCTCCTTTGTGTATACGTCTTTCGGATTTTGCCGCCATTTCCACCAGATCTCCTTCGCCGCCTTCTTCATTTTACCTGCATATAACCACCTCCACACGCCGCTTCACATCGCCTCGCTTCGCCTCGCCACCGCATCGCACGTTTTGACGTTGGCGATACAGTCATCTTTGTGCCGAGGTCGAAATAACTCTGCCGCGCGAAACAGCCTTTTCTCTCCTGATTCGTCATTCCCCACATCGGATCGATAGCTATCCAAGACATGAGGAATCTATCATCTGCCGGTTTTGTTCAGTGGTTGATTTAGTTAGCGTTGCAGTTGGGAGTCGTAAATCCACGTGTTGCGAAATTCCTTGTCTTTCTGTACCGCGCCACCCTTCCGATAATGCGCACACATCGAACTCTCCCCCCCCCGAAACTGAGTTATTTATGGCACATGACCAGAAGAGGGGGGGGACCCAGTTCGAATCGAAAACGTTTACCAAAATAGCTTGTTAGACTCTAACCAAAATGGAGGCGTCGAATTATTTACCCAAGTTCGCATACGGTTTGGAAATACTCCCTGAACTGACATGTAAATCCAATGATTCTATATGGCCATGAATGCTCTGCAGTGTCTCCACAGAGGAGGCACGGTGGAGTAATGGATAGCGGCTTGGATTGAGGAATCGGAGAGCCGAGTTCGAATTCCAGTCGGAATCCATTACATTCACTTACGTGCTAACACCCTTGGGAAAGGTGTGAATCCTCTTTCTTCTCCCTCCAGCTATGGGTAAATAGCAGGACAGACTGGGTTCTATAGCCTTGCATGGCAACTGGTCTAGGAGAAGGACAACTCTGAATTCAAACCTGCTCTTAGAATGAATGGTGTGTAGGCATCAGGCAATCAAAATGAATTAATGAAGTCATAAACCTTAATGAAGTGTCCCCTTAATGTATTCCTTGTTTTTTTTTTTTTTGTTTTTTTTCTTTGTCGCCGCTTCACGAAATAACAAATAATTCTGCTTAACCGCTGAAGCGCCTATGACACTCTCATCTCGGGATTTTTCACCACTAAAATCACCTCTTAGATAAACAATAGCGCAAATACCAAATGGAGTCTCTCTGAGCCTTGGTTGGCAATCCATTTAGTGTTGGTGTCACGATAAAAACACCCTTGATAGCCCTAGCGAAGCATCAAAAATTAAGCTACTTGACAAGATTATGAACTACACCAATCAAAGTATTGGTGAGTTCAATCTCAGCTGAGGCCGCAAGAAGAAGAAGTCTTCACAGATAAATAGAACACTTGTCGCAAGAGAGATATGGTGCTACAGAAGGATGCTGAGAATACCATGGACGGTGCTTGTAAGCAACGGCGACGTTATAGAAAGTAAACGAACGCTTATACTTAGAAAGTGACGCTTGAAATTTCTAAGACACTTGATTAAATTTTTGACTGATTTGTTTTACGGCTTATCAACCTTTTGCAGGTTATTCAAAGCCAGAAAATAATTTTAGATTGTAATAGTTTTTTCTTAGGTATGTTATGATTTACTGGTAAACGCCTTACTAATTAACCCATAGATGGGGGAGAATTGGTGGATTCATGCCTGTACCATGAGTACTTGCGCGTACGAGAATACAACGAAACCGATTGGAATTTGAACTCGCCTCTCCGGTTTCCAGTTCCGAGCCGTTTTCCATTACACCACCAGAACATTCAGACTTACTGTACCATTTATTACTGAACGGTCACCCAACTAAGTACTGACCAGACTCGACGTTGCTTAACTTCGCTGGTCGTAGGAGAACCGGTCGTTTCAACGTGATCTGGCCGCAAGACACGCTTAATTAAGAAAGAAGTCTTGGAGAATTTGACAGTCAAAGAACATAAGGAAAAAAATAAGGAAAAAAAAGGTTTATTGGAAAACAGCGAATAACTGACCTAACGCCAATTGTGTAATTGATTGGAAGAACAGCAATGAGCTAAGAGCCACGAACGATTGGAAGATGTGGAGAGCCACGACTGTCCACGTATTGAATGGATGCGATATATACAAACGGAGGACTAAGAAGGGGTTAAAGTCGGTTCGAATTATATTTAACTAAATTAATCAGGTTGACCATTACTTTTGAGTATCGATTACGATCCTCACTAGGTGCTTCACACAATTAGACTTGTGTCAGATTTTAACTAAGCTTAGTAAATAAAAAGAGGTGCGCTGATTTGGGGTAATAGCTAAACTTGTTAACCATTACTGTTACAAAACTCCGGTTGCCTATTGCTCCTGAATAGGGAGTTTGATCCTCACAGAGTGCCCCATTCTTGTGGACTTACTCAAATACCAAGCTAAGCTTGGTAAATAAACTAGATGTTTTGGCGTGAATTAATGCTTACATGGGTTAGACTAGTTGACCTATATTGCTGCGTCCTGGGTAAGACGGTAAACTACATTCGCGTCCTTGGTATGGCGATAAACTACATGCGCGTCCTGGGTATGACGATAAACTACGTCCAACAGCAAGGCCTCAGATAATGTTTTCGGAAAAATAATGTTGCCAGCTATACGTTTTTGAAACAATAATGTTGCCAGCTATGCGTTTTTGAAACCATAATGTTGCCAGCTATACGTTTTTGAACGCCCTGTGTATGACGATAAACTACATCCGCGTCCTGGGTATGAAGATAAACTACATCCGCGTCCTGGGTATGGCGATAAACTACATCCGCGTCCTGGGTACGGCGATAAAATACATCCAACAGCAAGGCCTCAGATAATGTTTTCGGAAAAATAATGTTGCCAGCTATACTTTTTTGTAACAATAATGTTGCCAGCTATGCGTTTTTGAAACCATAATGTTGCCAGCTATGCGTTTTTGAAACAATAATTTTGCCAGCTATGCGTTTTTGAAACAATAATGTTGCCAGCTATACATTTTTGAAACAATGTTGCCAGCTATACATTTTTGAAACAATAATGTTGCCAGCTATGCGTTTATGAAACGATGTTGACAGCTGTACGTTTTTGAAACAATAATGTTGCCAGCTATAAGTTTTTTTGTAAAAACTAATGTTGCCAGCTATTCGTTTTTGAAACAATAATGTTGCCAGTTATAAGTTTTTGAAACTATAATGTTGCCAGCTGTACGTTTTTGACTTTTAAAGTCACTCAAAATCATTTTCGGCATAAAGTGACCACTAAGGTTGAGATGCCGTTAAACAAAACAATCAACAATACAATCAAATGGAAATTCTTGACTTAAACAAAAAATACCTCGGATTATTTTGCAGTGTGCAAGCAAATAAGCTCTAGCTTGCTAAAAATGTTCCATACAAAATAGACATTTAAAATTCATATATTTATATATATATATATATATATATATATATATATATATATATATATATATATATATATATATATATATATATAAACTGGATTTGGCATTAAATAACTCACAGTGGTTGATATGCCATAAAACCCAAACAAACAAACAAACCTATATTGCTGGATAGTGATTTCGACCTTCACCGACTGCCCTATATTGATTTTCCAAGCGTAGCTTAGATATGACACAAGGCCGAAAGTAGTGGGCATCCAGTAAAGATTTAACTCACTACTCGTAATTCTTCTAGCGAGACAGGCTTGTTAACTATTACACTGTCTCGAGGTTCCCTCATCGGGTGCCCTATAGTTATGTGCCAAAACTTATCTTCTTCTTTTTTAGGTATCATGTTCTTTCATGACGTTTGTAGATCATGGCTCTCCACAATTTCCTATCCTTTAGAGCTCTTTACAACTGGGAAAGATTGATTATCTCTCCTAAACCCTGTTCCACCATCCAATTTACTCAAATTCGCTATGTAGGTTATGCGATGTTTTCCTCTGTCCGTCTTGCCATCAATCTGTTCTCTGAGTATTAAATTTTCTAAGCCCTCTTTCCTCATTATGTGCCCTAGATATTTCAACTGTCTCTTTCTGCTGTTACTTAACAGCTGAAAGAGACAGTTGAAATAGGTGTCCTTTTTGTTTCGTTTTTCTCTTAAACTTCGTCGGTCGGTCACATGATCGGTCCATGTTATTCTCATCCTCCTCCTGTAGAGTCACATTTGCGTCAAGACACTTCTTCATCTGTGAGGCGATTGTTTAGCATTCCCTGCAGTAGTGGAGGATTGATATTACAAGTCTACGATTCTGGATACCTTGTCTTGGCGACCTTTATTCCATAGTTGCACCAGTAAAGATCTAAAGTTTTTCAAGCCGTTTTCCCTCCATTCTTTGTCCTATAAATTGCACTTTGGAAATGTCATTTACTTTGTTTAGTATAAATTTCTTTTTGTTTTCCATTTTCGCTAAAACTTCATTGTTGTTTAGATGTTCGGTCTATTGTATTCTCATCATCCTTCTGTAGAACCACATTTCTGTTGCTTCAGGCTTCTTCTTCACCTGTGAGGAAAATTACACAGAATTCGCTGACATATAAAAGGACTGATATTACATAACAGTTCAGTACTCTTTTCTTTGTTTCTAACATTTTTTTCTTTTTTCTTTATACTTTGCTTAGTTTTTGGAAGGCATCTTTCGCTATACTCATGAGCCTTCGGATTTCAGTTGAGTTTAGTAAATAAAACAAAAATGCACGTTGGCGTGGGTTTATGCTTCGCGATGTTTAATTTTTTTACTGAGTAACGTATTTGATCCGTACCGGGTGCCTCATACTTTCGACCTCATTAACCCTTAGGAGACGATATATATCGGCCGAAAAGTCGAATGACGTAGAAGACGTCTGGGACGATCCATCGGCCCGCTAATACAAGCTTCTTGATTAGCTGAGTGGTCTTCTTAGCAGCCAATCAGTTTGATTCTCACATTTCTTGAACGTCTAGGCCTTTCAATGGCGGTTTCTATGATAGTTTACTGTGTTCTGTGATTTTAAATTGATTTATTTTGTTCTAAGTAAGGGCTTGTGAAAAGAATTTCGTCATGGCACTGAAACGTCAAATGAGACTCCGTTCCCAAAGGATTAAAAAAAAAAAGAAGAAGCTATACTTAATAAATAAAAAAAAAGTGCCACGGTGTAAGAAATAATGGCGCTTATCCTGTTAGTCCGATTGGCAATTACTTGCCCCTAAACAATATTCGGATTTAAAATTAAACCAACAAAAGGTGACATTCAAAATTAACCGAAAACAGTTTAACTTAATCGATCATGAAGCCAGAAGTTTGGAAATATCACGAACAAACTGACATCGCAGTATGAATATTGGCCGAGATTAGCACACGTCTGCCTTTCTGTTGTATAACTGAACATAGATCGCCAAAGAGCAAACACAGTCGATCCTATTTTGAATAAGTAGATCACGTGATAGTAAAGGAAATGTATATAAAGGAATTAACATGGCGTCTAACTGATCACTATTTCTACACTATCCCCTATTACTATACGGATTGCTATTCTCCATACTATTCCCTATACTATTTCTCTATACTGATCACTATTCTATTACTATTCAGGTCACTGTTCAGTGGTTACTATTCGAGCGAGTATTATCGAGCAAGTACTATTAGTGCGAGTGGTATTCGAAGGCCTCTGACACCTGTATTGTTCAACGGCGTTACTATAGTTGTATCTGCAATTACAAAGTCTCTACTACAACGAGCATTACGAAAGTGACAACGAGTATTCTTTGACATTACAAAAGTGGCAACGAGTGTTCGTTGAGTCAAAAAAATATATAACTTCAGGTTTAAATTTTAATCTAATTGATCGTTGATTCGCTTGCATTACAAAAATGGCAACAAGTATTCGTTGACATCACAAAACATTCAATGCGGTAAGCTCCAGTTTCTGATCAGAAAATATCAGATATGTAGAACGGATCGAATTTAACTACTCAATAATAACGATTATGTTCCTCTTCTTTTATGTTCCCCCCGTCTCAATTTATTTGCAGTTTTGACCTTTGTTCTGCTTTTCCGTGTACAGAAGTGCGAGTTATTCATCTATATCGAACTGCTAATATTGGTGAGATACAAAACTGTTATTACTAAACTTTGTCTAGTTCAAGGCTACATTAATCGGTCACCCAGTGAGGATCGAACTAAATTAGGATGTATTGTTACCCACATGTCCTATCTAGTTGTTATTCATTCCCCGCCCCCACTCTCTCTCTCTCTCTCTCTCTGAATGAAGCATAAAAGCATGTGCGATTATGACTCTCCGCAGCTTCCTCGCTTTCTCTCTATGGTAGCTAATTCTCTATCCGCAAACCATTTTCAGATTGGTTACAAGCTATAAAACATTGCTACTCTTGTACCTGTGAGTGTTACATTTTCCAACCCTTTTCTCCTCATTTATGTGTCCCTGAAATTTCTGATTATTAGCTACGGTTTGGTCGTAGATCATATTTCACATAAAATGTCCTTGTGTCTCACATGATCTATCAATAGTACTCGTAATCGGTAGAAGCACATACCTGTCACTTCAAGTCTCTTAGAGTGAATATCATATAGCAGATTAGATATTACATGTCAGTAAAGCATTAATTTCTTTTTTTTCTATTGATGTTTTCCGTTTGCTTATTACTTTGCTATGTTTCTGCAAGGCATCTTTCGCGCTACTTAACACCCTACAGGTTTCAACTATTTCTTCCTGGTGGTCAGTAAATCTGGTAATTACTGTTCTTATTCATCACAAGTTCTGTTAATGGTATATTAAGCAATCCTTTATAGAAGCACATCTTCGCTGGTTCATATTCTTCACTTGAGAAGAAATTGTCTAAAGATTAAATATTGACAATCCAAAGAGCAGTGAAAAAAAAACATGAAAATGAAATTG